TTCGTGGTCTTTCTTATGTAAATTAACATATTTTGTTTTAATGAAAGTTTAAAATTTCCTTGCTTTTCTTTAAGTGTCGAAGTTTGAAAAGTCAATGTGACACCTCGGACTCATATTCAGGTCGAATACGGCTTAGGGGTGTTACACACATCACCCCTCAATCTTTTTCCAAAGTGATTATATAACCCGCCTTAGTAGGTGGTCATGGTTGCCTCTGAGCTTTATCAGACTAATGGGATTTAGGACTCGACGGTAATGGCTCGCTCTTCTCAACAGTTCTAGCTCGTCCAACTAAAGTATTCAACATTGTGTCATGGTGTAAGGCAATCGTTGATTGAATCAAAGGGTAGCGATATTTCAAGAACCAATCACATTTCTCATTCTCATTCAAAATCAACCCTGGAACATACTTGACCAATCTCAGAAACTCAATCTCATAGTCGATCACGAACATATCATTCTGCTTCATATTTATAAAATATTCCCGACAATTTTCCAGATACTCAACCCCCATATAACGATCTCAAAAAGCCTGACGAAAATGCTCCCAAGTGACTTATCCGGTCGAAATGGTATCTTGTTCAAATTCCCACCAATCCCGAGCTTTACCACCTAATAATGATATAATATCCCTCAAGATACGACCAGTTATGTAATCCATTTTCTCAAACAGTCGATGCAACTTCTTCAGCCAATACTCAACATCAGCGGGGTCAGTCCCGACCTTACCCACAAACATAGTCATCCTAGCATCTAAGAACTCAATTGGTGCGAGTTTATGATACCCTCAGTCTAGCAGAGATAACGAAGTAGCTATCGATTCGTTGTAGCATTATCTATCTCTACAGTCACGTTGTCCTCAGATCCATGTGATCATTCACTCTAAGTTGGGGTGCGAGTGGTTTTTCATTCCCCTTAACTCTAGTATGATTCATATGTTGTTCATCTCTCTATCTCATTAACTTGATACAGATTATGAGTTTGGCACACTAGAGGTGGAGGATCAATCTCAGACGGTGCGATACAACCTTGATCGATTACTAGTCAGAGACTTCTACGCGGTGCCATAAGAACTATCTACAAAAGTCAACACCTAATATTAAATTTTGTACTTGGAGTTTTCAAATATAAAATATAATGCATTTATTTTTAAAAAATCTCATTTTAACTCGAAAATATTTTATGTAACCAAAATCATTTTTCGATTAAAAATCTTATGATTTAGCTACACAATTTGAGGGTTGAACCTGCCTCTCATACCACTAAATATAACCCATTTGACCCGACCTAAATGAAACAGGTCGAATCCAGATGACTCATTAACTAAATTCCCTAAAATCGTACCTAAACATTACTTAAAATACATTAAAAAAATTATCTCATTTATTGATTTCAAATACTCAAAAAATAGCCGAAATACATTAAAAAAATTATTAACATATACCAAACATTTATAAAAATCCAGAGTTCAAGTCCCAACGTTCGAAACAAAATTTATGTTCGAAGTCCCAAAATATTTAAACATAGTAAATATTATCCAAATAAAATAAGAAATAAAAATCCGAATAAAATGTCATACTATGCAAATAATGACAATGGAATAATGTCGTAACTCCAAGTATCAGTTCTCCTAACCCGAGTATCTGAAAGAGAAACTAAGGGGGTCTGAGCTAATAAGCTTAGTGTGTCTCTAAAGTGCAAGTAAAGCCAAATCATAGCACAGTCCGAGTCAAACAATATTAATCATATTCTGAATCAAGCAATAATAATCAAATATTTGATTATTATGCTAATACTAATGTACCTACTCGTACTCATGTCACACCATTCAAAGTGTGGGTTCTTCAGAACCACACTATCTACAATCAAAACACACTATATGAGTGGGGTCTGCCACAAAGGCAGAGGCCATAGAATCTGAAAAGTGATATTCACCCCGTCGAGTGAATGCATTGAACTTCTCCTATCAGAAATTCGTCCCAACATGACATGCAAAATGACAGAATATCTGATGCCTGATCTGATTTGAATAATAATATTTCTGAAGCATATATTTCAAAGCATATATTCTGTTAAATCAATTACAATTACACATTACATTCACGTAATTGTATTCCAGTTCCAATAACTAAACATGCATCATATGGCTATATGTTTTCGAATCTCAATTATCACAAACAAACTCATAGCCAGACATGTTTTTAATCATATTTCAACTAACCAAGCAAACAAGCAGCCAAACAATTAATATATCACTAAATAAAGAGACACGCCTCGGCAGAAGGCTAACGACGGTAATAACCTCTACCACGATCAGATGAAGTAGTGGATCGACCCGAATCAGAACCTATGAAATAATTTAAATAAATAAATAATCCTAAAATTAACTACGAATTTAACGTACTTAAATTTTTCAGTTAACACTCATCGACACGAGCTATACAGTTCGGTTTGAAGTTTGTAGGTAATGACAGTAACTCCATTCCCGGTTCAGAATTTCCTGTAAATTTTACATCGTCCTAATCAAACACCAATAAACCAATTTCCGGTTAAAACTAATAATTATCGAAGAGTAAAAATAATTCTGATTCGATTGGGGATCTGCCAGCAGACTTTTGATTCGAATATCGGGACTGTCAGTACACTTAAATGAGGCTGTCGTTGACGGAACTTTATCGGCAGCAGTCCAATGGGTCGGGAATATCACGGCTGGCCTTGTCGTAGCCTTAAACGGCCGATCACCACACGACAATGACAACAACACCTCAAACAGAACTGACGAAGGGGTTTCCATGGTCAAACCCAGCTGTCAGCCGCTAACCAGGCCAATTGGGCCTTCCTCAACGAAAACCCGTCCACCCACGACCATAAACAGCCGAACACAGCGGCGACAGGGGCAATATTGTGAGTTAAAGATCGCGAGTTTTATGATAACTCGTTCAAACAATGACGGTTGCGAATGGGGTTACGACGGGGTAATGAGGGAAGGTCGACGAACCTACCTTGATGATAAACGGCGACGAAGCAAGCAAGGGCTGCGGCAACTGGGGTTGATGAATCAAGGTGAGCAGCGCTAGGGTTTCAAAAGAAAGAAGAGGGTGCCACGGTATTTTAAAATGGGGAAGAGTTTGTTTTAAAATAAAATTGGGTAATTGCAGTGTTGACCATTTAACTTTATAGGATTCATGAAAAGGTTCTGAACTTTACAAATTTATAATTTAGCCACTAGTTTCCAATTCGGAATTTAGGTCAAAATTTCTCAATTTTTAGGGTTTTAAATTTGGGATTTTTTGGTGTGTTACATCGAGTCAATTTTTTAAATCAATTTATAAAATTACACTGTAAGAATTTAAACTTTTCATAGTAACGATCAAGCCATCAAAACTTAAAAAAATATGTGAATCATTAATTTTTTAATGATACAATCAAGCATTTATTCTATGTTATCTCTTGCTCTTTGCCTTGGATATCTTTCTTGATGGTGTTAGTGACATCTTTGATGTCATGCTTCCTCACATTTATGAAGTCTTAATGATTTATTCGTTACTTTGGTGAACTGAAGTTCTCACAAAATTATTTTACAGATTAATTTAGGCCATTAAATTAATTTTATCATCTAAAATTATATAAATAATTAGTTGAAACGCTATTCCCGTAACAAATAATACCCAAGCATGCCATTTTCATCTTTTATCCATTTGTGGTGTAGAAAATTTCAATAATCATAAGATTGACAAACAAGCAAAGCAAAAGAGAGAGAGAGATGGAAATTCGTTTGGAATTGGTTGGGCCGACAGATTGGACTGAGATGGGGCCCAAAAGATGGTGCAATGATTTTTTTCTCTAAAAATAAATACGAAAATAATAATTAAAAGAAAGGACAATAGATTGTGGGAGGAGGGGGACAAATTGGAAGAATGTTAGTCCCATCAACTAAAGTTGAGAAAATGAAAAAGTATATAAATACCCATTTTGACTTTGGTTTCATCATATGCCATTGATAGTACTTTACATCTGTGTGTGAGATAGGATCATGTAATAAATACACTCTCATGCGTAACCCCTTAATTGCAACTATCAAAACACGCATCGCCAGTTGATTTTAATAATAACAAAAATAAATTAAAAGATATACATGATCTATGATTATCATTAAATTTGAGTTAAAATACAAGTTATTTAATACATTAATAATTGTGCATGAATAAAATGATGGTATGTTTATAAAAAAATCCAATAAATAAATTTTAGTTATTTCAAGATAAGATTTTTGATTTAAAATTTTACAGTTTTATTTTAATCTATATTGGGTTATCTTTGGGGTTCAATGATAAAGCATAAAACTTAATATATGACGGGATTTTAGTTTTGAAAATATTTGGAGGGTCTTTTAAGTATGAATGTAAAACTTTGGGTATTCAAGTGATCCAACTTTTGACTAAAAATTGGTACCGAAAAGGAAGGCTTGTGAAGATAAACATTGCACGTTCATACGAAAGAAGAGACATAGGCCGACAGGGAGAAAGCAGAAAGGAAAGGGGAGAAGATATGATGATTCGTATGAATCATGAAGCTTATTGTTTCTCAGCCTATGTCTTGATGTTTAAGAAATGGTCAAATAAATACGAGAGTAATGCCTCGGGAAATCGTTTCCAGCAGATTCATATTTACAATTAATATTGTTTTTGAAAGACGGAAAAGAGGTTTTTGGTGATTCAGAAACCGACACAAGGTGGCCTTTTTAAAGTCAAAGTTGCATTGCTTTTGTTTTACTGCAAACATGTTCATATAATGTCCAGATGGGGCTAAGGCATTGGCAGTGGGATGCTTTGTTTATGGGACGCAACACCCATCAGCCAACAACAGCAACTGAGAGAGAGAGTGAGTGAGAGGATCACAGCAGAGCAAAAAGCAATAGCCCATATGAACAAAATAGTGGGGGGTTGAATCCTAAGCTTTTCCATTATCAAATCCAAACAAAGATTTGTTTTCAATCATGTATGGTCGGCGGCAATTTTCCCGATAAATCATCGGTGATCGATATATTTATCGATCTAACAATGGTCAGATTATATTTCCCGATCTAACACCCGTCTTTCACCTGAACTTTTGACAATTTTTTCCATTAACATTATTCAACTTTTCTTCGGTCTTCAAGACAAAACAAGATACTGATGGTGTTACCATTCAGTCTGATCCACAAGATTCGTTCACTGCAAATCGGACTTTGGATCTGGCTTCTAGTCTCGAAGTAGGACCAGCAACAAAGCATGCTGCAGCAGATGCTCCATCTTGTCAGAGCACAAGATCAGTGTTGACAATCGCCTTCCAGTTTCCATTTGAAAGCAATATTCAGGATAATGCTGCAAACATGGCACGTCAGTATATCCATAGTGTCATTTCTTCTGTCCAGAGGATTGCCATGGCCATATCTCCAGCTGGATTGGACCCAGCTATTGGACCAAAGCTATCTCCAGGCTCTCCAGAAGCACTTACACTGGCTCAATGGATTTGCTGGAGCTACAGGTGAGTTGCTTTATTGTTTGTGTATATTGTAGTTTGGCTAACATGCCACACTGGAAACTGTAAGTGCTGTCGGTTTATGGAATCAGCTCATTTATCCTTTTCCCCCCTAGTTGCTGATGTGTCATTTTCATTTGTTTTTACTCGGTTTCTATTTAGGGACGGAGTTGTTGAGGTCTGAATCACTTGGCGGTGACTCTATATTGAAGAATCTCTGGCAACACCGGGATGCAATATTGTGCTGTTCGTTGAAGGTATAGTCAAAACTCTGTTGAAAAGGCAAGAGCTTTTCTTCGAACCATGTATATCAGGTCCTGCAGATGCATTCTTCATGATTGTTCAAATCGAGTAATCTTAATCTGTTTTGGGTTTGCAGTCTCAACCTGTTTTCATATTTGCAAACCAAGCTGGACTAGACATGCTCGAGACAACTCTAGTGGCTCTACAAGACATTACTTTGGACAAATTGTTTGATGAGTCTGGACGCAAGGCATTGTGCTCTGATTTTGCCAAGTTAATGCAGCAGGTGAGTCGACCCGAGTTAAATATTTGGCTGAGCTAAGAAAAGGGATGCTGTAATTTGCCTGGTAAATACATAATTGGCCCTAAATATATCAACTTTAACAACAGGGATTTGCTTGCTTGTCGGCTGGAATCTGCATGTCAACAATGGGACGCCATGTTTCGTATGAACAAGCTTTTGCCTGGAAAGTCCTTGAAGCTGATGAGACCACTGTCCATTGCCTCGCCTTCTCGTTTGTTAACTGGTCTTTTGTATGAATACATTTGACTGTAATTTATTTCGTCTCAAGACCAAGCTTTCCTCCTACCTGCCCATGGAAAATGGAAATGATGAACAAATCAGGAAAAAAAAATTAAAATTCCAATGAAGAACAGGTACAAAGTTTTGTAACATGGAAGGCACCCTGTTCAGGTTTGCATTTGATTCATTTAATTAATTTTTTTAGTGCATCATAATTTGGTTTAGCCCTCTGATAACTAATTCATCAGGAAATATTGGGATTTTCCCCAGAATTGGTAAAATGATCCCCAGCAATTGGTAACCAGAAGAGGAGACGCTCAGTAGTAACAAATTTGAGGCGCAAACAAACAATCTAGCATTGAAGAATGTACATGTTTTACATTAATGTGATCGATCTCCAAAAGATGCATATTGAAGTAACTGGTATTCATAATGTCCTAGCCCAGATATTTGTCTCGCACACCGATTTACAGAACTAATTACACAACTACAAAATTAATCCAAGATGGCTACGAGGAGATATATATACTAGAAATAGAAAAAATGCTTCATATATGGCTACTCTTTTCCACTTCAATTTTCCCTTGTTACATGTCTATCTGGATGCTTCAGCTATTATATAATTCAAACATGGATAGTATTATAAATTATACCAAAATATTAAATTATTTTATGAATTAGGTTAAATTAATTTTTTTTATCGTATTGCATATTAAAGAGTATTTTTTTAAATTAATAATAATCATTAATTTTATTAAATAAATAAAATATATAAGAAAATTATAAAAAAATTACAAAAAATACAACAGATTAAAAAATATATACAAAACTCGTTTAATCATATGCGAAATAACATCTATTTAGACATTATAATAATAATAATAATTCAAATTAAAACTCATTGTATATAGTATGTAAGGCTTAAGTATACAAAATGTGTCTAATCTATGCCTTTTTTTTAGTTAAGTGCCTAACGTTTATTTTGTTTTAATTTGGTACCTAAAGTTTCATTACGTTACTCAAAATGAGTCCAGACGTAACGGACCGTTAAGTTTGACAGTTAACCTATTAAAAATACCACCTTACATATTTTTTAATATTAAAAATGATTATCTAACATGAATCCATCCTTCTCTGTACCCTTTCTGTCACCGCTTCTTTATCAATTCATCTGTCCCGTTGCGATGCAGTCTCTTCCTAGACAATGAGATGGGATACTAACCTTTTAAATGTATTTTTAATTAAAAAAATTTATTTTAACCGTAAAATCAATACCAAATGAATAGAAAATAAAATAAAAAGTTAGAATATTAACATCTTTAAAAATTAATACATCCTTATTAATACATGGATTCCGCTCAATTATGTATTTATATTTTATTTTAATAATTTAATATTAACGTAATTAAAAAAATAATTTATTAATTTATTTTAATTATTTAAAAGTAAATAAAATTTATTATTTATATATTAAAATATTAATAAAACATGTTATATCACATGTTAAAAAGTATTGATGATATGTTTTTCTCAATAAAATATTTTATTTATAAAAATATTATTAATGAGTTATCTTCAAATATTTTTTTATATACTTTTATTATAGTTTAAGTGGTATATTTTATATATCATAGTATTGATAAGTCTAAATATAATTAAAATTTTATATTTTTAATTTACAACATAATCTCTATAATGTACAATTTATCTTTTAAAACTCACTTTTTAACAATAATCCCAAACAATTAAATTTCAATCCCTAACAATTAAATTTTAAACAACACTTTTTTTAAAAAAAATTACCACACTTTTAAAATGAGAAAATAACCTCAGTGACAAAAAATGTCTTATAATATACGATTTTAACCAACATTTTTGGATTTGCCAAAATGACCAACTAAATCGCAATGCGATCGATAATTCGCAACGCGATCTCCGGTATTGCAAATCAGTTTCCAGATTCGCAACGCGATTCTGACTATCGCATTGCGATTTTCCTAATTCGCAATACGAATACGTAAATCGCAATGCGAATACGTAAATCGCAACGCGAATCTGACTATCGCAACGAGATTCTGACTATCGCAACGCGATTCTGACTATCGCAATACTGAATTTCAAATTCGCAACTCGATTTCTGAATTCGCAACACAAATGTTTTGGGTATATAACTACGCAGCAGCATCAACTCATAACCTAAATCCCTAAATCGCAACTCATTCCATCTCCATCTATCACTCTCTCCGGCGACATCCGTTCCTATATCCAACGACATCCTTCCTCATCCGGCAACAGGTTTTAGTTTCGTAACTCGTTTGTTTAGTAAATTAATTTACAATAATGAAATCATCTAATGTTGATAATGTTTGGATAGATTTGTGTTTTGGAGGGTCATGGGAGAACGTTCATGGTGTTTTACAATATATGCCTTTACCCATGAATCTTCAACTAAAATTGTCATTAAAAAAGTTGACTTATGAAACTCTAATGTTACGTGTTGCAAATAAATTGAATTTAGAGCCCCTAAGTGAATTTAGGCTATCTTATCAGAGAAATGGTAAAGTTTATTTGTTAACCGACAATGAAGGTGTTGAACGATTCATTGCTTACATTAGTGTTTCAAGTGATGATGTTACATTGTATGTTGTTGAACATAGAAATAGTTGTTATCACTTATTAGACATTCATTTGACTATCGCAACGCGGAAATCGCAACGCGAATATGACTATCGCAACACGGAAATGACTATCGCAACACGAAATTGACTATCGCAACGTGGAAATGACTATCGCAACGAGAGAATCGCAACGCGAAATGAAAATCGCAACAAGAGAATCGCAATGCGAAAATGAAAATCGCAACGCGAATCTCGTTGCGATAGTCATTTCCGCGTTGTGATAGTCTGTTTTGCATTCAACATAATGCAGATTGAAATCAACAAATCAACTATTACATTTCAATCAATTAAACAAGCACAAATAATAATTATGTACACATCAATTAAACAAATCAACATTTACAAATCATCTTTTACAAATCAATTAAACAATCAAAAAATAATAATAAGAATTATTTCCTCATCAATTATTGAATCAACTTTTGGACCCATACATCCATTTCACGCAGCTCACTTCAGGATTAACCTGCAGAAACCAAACATTGAATCAACAACACTTTCTACACATCTAAAACCTACAAACAGCAAATTATTGAATTCTAGCTACTTAACCAAACATTTTCAAACCAAAAAAAGTATATATGTTTAACAACACTTGCATTTGACTTACAAATTGTTTATGGACACTTTCATAACGCGGATGCAGGTAGGCAGCGTCTCGCATATATCGTTCTAGCCATAAAATGCGAAACCACAAGCCTACTGCACCTCTATCTCTATCGGTGGGAGGTAGAAACTGTGTACTTCCTGTCGTCAAACGCTCCAAGCACATGCATACGAGAGGACTACAATCCCCTCTGGCTTCCTTCGTTTGTTGTGGCGCGATCTCGTCTCTGATAACTGTAACATTGAACTTCTTTGGTTTCTTGTTTCCAGAATTAGTCCAATAATTAATTGCATCCAAGAATTTAGCCAAATGAGAGCTCAATCCCTTAATAATATCTCTCAGATATGTAATTTATCATGCTGTCATATACTATTGTCTTTAGGGATGGGAGCTGAAGCTCGACGAGAAGCCAATGAGTACGTTCCAAAACAGGGATAAACACCTACATCGAAATGTAATAATTCAAATTGCGCACTTATTTATGAACACCTTTAAAATATTTAAACAAATAAATACTAACCTTATCGACCTCCCACCATGCAGGATAAAGTTTAGCTTGTCCATTAGCCAACACATATGATTCCTGTTGTTGATTATTCAAGTGAACTACGTGAAAAGACGTCGGCATAATTGTATATCGCGTTTTTTTATATTTTTCTTCAATTTCCTTACAATTAGAAGACGTGTCACCCATGCATCAATATGCTGTTTAACAAAAAAAGACATATATTAGTGAATTACATAAATTTTTTAAAAAATTAATCAAACTGAAATATAAGAAGAAATATAAGACTTACCCCCATCGAAATAGCCGTTGTCTTCAACCCCTAATAATACACCCCACCAAGACCGTTCAATCAACAAATGCATATCATTGTTGAGTTTGTATATGTCAGCGTAACACCCTTTGCTCCGCTCATGTAGATAAAAATCAACTGCGGTCTTAGCCTAAAGGGTATTATCCAGAATTGTTTCCAGTAGTTGTTTCCTCTCCACTTCATCTGCCGGAATGGTACTGGCCAGTAACTTATACGAAAGCCAACAGTCATCCATCATGTCCGGCACGTGAGGGGGCTTCTCAATAATTCGATATATTACGCCGTGTGAATCGGGCTCTAGAATGTTGGGAGGGACCTCTTCAACGATGACAGTGGCCTCTTGAACGGTGGGAGGGGACTCTTGAGGGATGATAGGGGCCTCTTGAACAATAGGGGAGGCCTCTTGAACGATGAAAGGTGAGTCGGGCTTTTTCTTACGGATTCTTCGCACTATTGGGGTGAACGGAGACGTAATGGAACGTGCACGCCGTCTGATGCGTGAGCTCCGTCTTGTAAGAAAACCCCAACGTAGAGTATCCACCTTAGCGGGCCGCTAAAAATAAATTAATACATAAATCAATAAATAAACAGACATGATATTAAACAGTGAAAACAAAGACAAATATATTTCAAACTTGCACGATATTCACCCAAGTCATTATTATATCATTGATCACAAAATGCATCAGATAACATTCCAGAAGTAAGCACTTATATAAACATTTAAAAGGACAACATATATGTTTAGTGCAGGTTCAATGACAACATAAAGAGTAGTAGTTTATTCTTGAAACTTAAATTTTCAACACTGTGAAGTTAGTATTTGTCTTTTGGTTGAAGTAATGCAATTCATTCAAGTTTCATTTTGCAGAAGAAGAATAGAATCTGAAACTTAAAATCGCAACACGAAAATGACTATCGCAACGCGAAAATGACTATCGCAATGCGAATTTGACTATCGCAACGAGAGAATCGCAATGCGATTTTCATTTCGCATTACGATTCTTTCGTTGCGATAGTCAAATTCGCATTGCGATAGTCATTTTCGCATTGTGATAGCCATTTTCGCGTTGTGATTTTGTTGTTGCGATTTTCATTTCGCATTA